TAGGAGGGACGACGACGAGACGCCGACGACGGACGACGACGACGACGACGAGGGAGGAGGAGGAAGGATGACCACGGCGACAACGACGACGGAAACGACCACGACGCCAAAGAGGACGACGACGACGAACACGAGGAAAGACAGAGGACGACGTAGGCGACGACGACGACGACGACGCGGGAGGAGGGAGGACGGCGACGACGACGACGACGACGAAAGAGCGCGCGCGCACGCTTTTGTTGAAAATCCGTGTTGCGAAACCTTGGGTTTTTGTATGTTTTTTGGACGCGCGATTTCGAAATCCTTCCGAAACCGGTGGGTTTTGAAGGATTTCGGCGTACGCGCGCGACGACGCGCGCGTCTGCACTTCGTCCTCTTTTTTGCACAGGATTCTCGCGACGGCACACGCGCAAGGGCGTTCGACAGATTTCGACATGCGCGCGCGCGCGACGCCCGTTTGGTAGCATTTTGTGAAAATCGTGATAAACCCATGGTTTTCTTAAGATTTCGCAAGAGCTCGCGCGGAAGCTTTTTTAGCAAATCAGTGTTGCGAAACCATGTGTTTTTGTATGTTTGTTGGAAACTCGATTGCGAAATCCTTCCGGCACCGAAGGTTTTTGAAGGATTTCGGCATGCGCGCGCGACGACGCGCGCGTGTGCACTTCGTTCCATTTGTTGCAAGGGATTCGCGGAAAAGTGCTGGGTTAGAGCAAAAATGTCACCGCATAGTGTTTTTTCACAAGGGACCCTCAGGGGGGGAAACCGGCCTAGCTGGGATGGTATGATTTCATATTTACGATGGACGAGTGTGCAGAATATGTGTATAGTCATATATATATATATATATATATATATATATACATATATATATATATATCATCCCAGGGGGAAGCGTTAAGTCCAGGGGGGGGGATCTATTTTTTCGATAAAAAAGGAGAATGAATAGATTCTACCCCCCCCCCCCCGGACTTATCGCTTCCCCCTGGGATAGTACGATCTTATATATATATATATATGTATATTCTGCACATTCGTCCATCCTAACTATGAAATCCCATCATCCCAGCTAGGCCGGGCTCCCCTCCCTGAGGTTCCCTTGAAAAAACTATGCGGTGACTTTTTGTTGTTCTAACATAGCATTTTTTCGCGAATCCCTCACCAAAAAAGAGAGAGAGAGAGAGAGAGAGAGAGAGAGAGAGAGAGAGACGAAATGCACACGCGCGCGTCGTCGCGCGCGCGTGCCGAAATCCTTCAAAAACCCTTGGTGCGGGAAGGATTTCGCAATCGAGTTTCCAAAACACATACAAGAACAAAGGGTTTTGCAACACAGAGTTGCTAAAAAGCTTCCGCGAAAGCTCTTGCGAAATCTTAAGAAAACCATGGGTTTATCAAGATGTCCACAAATGCTACCAAACGGGCTTCGCGCGCGCGCATGTCGAAATCTGTCGAACGCCCTTGCGCGTGTGCCGTCGCGAGAATCCCCTGCAAAAAAACGGGGCGAAGTGCAGACGCGCGCGTCGTCGCGCGCGTATGCCGAAAACCTTCAAAACCCATCGGTTTCGGAAGGATTTCAAAATCGTGTGTCCAAAAAAACCACGAAAACACCAGGTTTCGCAACACGGATGTTCAACAAAAGCGTGCGCGCGCGCTCTTGCGTCGTCGTCGTCGTCGTCGCCGTCCTCCCTCCTCCCGCGTCGTTGTCGTCGTCGTCGTCGCCTACGTCGTCCTCTGTCTTTCCTCGTGTTCGTCGTCGTCGTCCTCTTTGGCGTCGTGGTCGTTTCCGTCGTCGTTGTCGCCGTGGTCGTCCTTCCTCCTCCTCCCACGTCGTCGTCGTCGTCCGTCGTCGGCGTCTCGTCGTCGTCCCTCCTATTTCGTCGCCGTCGTCGTCGTCGTCGTCGTTGTCGTCGTCGTCGTCTTCCCTCCTCCCTCGTCGTTGCCGTCGTCGGCGTCGCCGTCCTTCCTCCTTCTTCGTCGTTCGCGTCGTCGCCGTCCTCCCTCCTCCCTCGTCGTTGTCGTCGTTGTCGCCGTCGTCGTCCTCCCTCCTTCCTCGTTGTCTTCGTTGGCGACGTCGTCTTCGTCGTCGTCGTCGGCGTCGGCGTCGTTGTCGCCTTCGTCGTCGTCGACGTCGGCGTCGTCGTCGTCGCCGCCGTCGTCGTCGTCGTCGGCGTCGTTCGTCGTCGTCGTCGGTGTCGTCGTTATCGTCGTCGTCGGCGTCGTCATCGTCGTCGTCGTTGTCATCGTCGTCGGCGTCGGTGTCGTCGTCGTCGTCGTCGTCGTCGTCGTCGTCGTCGTCGTCGTCGTTGTCGGCGTCGTCAAAGTCGTTGGAGACGTCGTCGGTGTCGTCGTAGTCGTTGTCGGCGGCGTCGTCATCGTCGTTGTCGCTGTCGTCGTCGGCGTCGCTGTTGTTGCCAAGTGCCATGTGGTACCCACCGTCACGGTCTGAAGAGATTTTGCAAACCAAGTTGCGGGTGGGTGGGTGGGATGTTTGCGCGAGCAGCGGAGTGGACAACTCAATGCGAACAGAAATTAGTTGCTCCACATAGATTGCACAACGAAGCTTGCACCACATTGGTTGCACAACGCAGATTGCACCACATAGGTTGCACAACATAGCATGCACAACATAGATTGGATCACCTATACTCACTTGGAGGCCTGTTGGGCCACTTGGGGCCATCTTGGGCGTCTTGCAACGATCTTTCGGCGACTCGGGGCCCTCTTGGACCGCCTTGGGGGCCTCGTGGAGCTCGCTTGGCCTGTCTTCGGGCCCTCCAGGGCCCGAACAAATCATGCGAGAACACTTCCCGGAGCCCAGGGGGCACGCGACAAGCGGTGGCGGATTCTTCCGGACGTATGAAATTAAAAATAAGGTGTTCGGGTATGGTGTTTTATCAATTGTTGACGCTTCGCGAATCCCCACCAGCCCATCCAGAAACGATGCCCAGAGGAATTGCCTGGATCAGGGAAGTGGGCAGCACACAGAGGAAGCCATTATGCGACATCTTGGGATATCTTGAGCCATCTTGGAGGTCATCTTGGGCTCTCCCAGGCGCTCTTGGGATCATCTTGATCAGTGCTCCCCCCAAGAGGCCAACATGTGGCTAAAACCTGCGTGAAATCAATGATTTGGCATTCTCGCCGAGGCCTCTTGGAGCATCTTGGGTGCCTCTGGGGGGTCTTTCGGGGGCCTCTTGGGGGTCTCTTGGGGGCCTCCTGGGGGCCTCTTGGGGGCCTCTTGGGGGCCTCTTGGGGCCATCTTGGGACCTCTTGGGGCCTCCCGGGCGCTTCCTGGGGCCATCTTGGAGGAGATCGATCAAACAAGAGGGGAGCATTAGTTAGCGTTCCCCCCCCAGGAGGCCAAAATCGGGCCAAAACCATAATAAAACCAATGATATTGGCTTCCTCGCCGAGGCCGGTTTGGCATTCTCGCCGAGGCCTCTTGGAGCATCTTGGGTGCCTCTGGGGGGTCTCTTGGGGCCTCTTGGGGGTCTCTTTGGGGCCTCCTGGGGGCCTCTTGGGGGCCTCGGGGCCTTCTGGGCGCTTCTTGAGGCGATCTTGGAGGAGATCGATCAAACAAGAGGGGAGCGTCAATTAGGGTCCCACCCTGGGAGGCCAAAAAACGGACCAAAACCTTAATAAAACCAATGCTGTTGGCGTCCTCGCCGAGGCCGTGTTGGCATTCTCGCCGAGGCCTCTTGGAGCATCTTGGGTGCCTCTGGGGGGTCTCTTGGGGGTCTCTCGGGGGTCTCTTGGGGGCCTCCTGGGGGCCTCTTGTGGCCATCTTGGGGCCATCTTGGAGCCTCCTGGGCGCTTCTTGGGGCCATCTTGGAGGAGAGCGATCAAACAAGAGGGGAGCGTCAATTAGGGTCCCCCCCAGGAGGTCAAAATGGGGCCAAAACCCTAGTACAACCAATGATGTTGGCTTCCTCGCCGAGGCCGTTTTGGACGCCCTGGCGACTCGCGACCCCCCCCCCCTCCAGGTCCATGGGGAGGGGGTAGGGGGAGGGGTCAAGTTACCCCCTCCCCGCCCGCAAGCCGTCTCGCTCACTCCCACCCGCCCTCCCAACACATACGTAGCACCCGAGTCTGGCCCGAGCCTCAGCATATTCAGCAGTCGTCTTTGGATGGGCAGCTACTGGGGGCCAATCCGCCGTCTCCGCCGCCGCCGCCGCCGCCGCCGCTGCCCGCCGCCGCCCCCCCCGCCGCGCCGCCGCCGCCGCCGCCGCCGCGCAGCCGCCGCCTGCCGCCGCCTGCCTCCGCCGCCGCGCCGCCGCCCGCCGCCCCCCGCTGCCTAACCGCCGCCGCAGCCGCAGCCGCAGCCGCTGCCGCCACCGCCACCGCCGCCGCCGCAGCCGCTGCCGCCGCCGCCGCCCCCGCCCCCGCCGCCGCCGCCGCCGCCGCCGCCGCAGCCGCCGCAGCCGCCGCCGCCGCCGCCGCAGCCGCCGCCGCCGCCAAGTGTACTCTGTATTGTTTTTGTTGTCAGGGATGGTGGGAGGGGGGCGCATCGGGTTGGCTGCGCATGCTCCGAATTTGGAGGCGAAGTGTGTTTTGTATTGTTTTTTACAAGGGATGGTGGGGGGGGGGTGTCGGCATGGACTCGGGTTGGCCCGCAATCGCCTGGGGGAGGGGGTGTTTATTAATAGGGAACAGTGATAAACCCCTCCCCGAAGGGGAAGAAGGAGGGGTGGAAGAGGAAACTCTCTAAACCACCGACGCCCAGAGGGCTGGTGGGATTTGATGTTCAGTTTTGTCGTCCTGCCGTTCAAGATGTAAAAGGTTTGGGGGTTGTAAAATGGCATATCAACCTTGGTGTGAGCATTGTATTCGAATGGTGCGGGAACGCACATGTGTGAGGTAGTAAGTGCAATGTTGCCGAACAGGTCGTTAGGCAATGCGTTCGACGGCGAGCAGTTCCATTCTGGTTTGATACAGTCACACTCCTACTTATTCGTTGCTGCACCCTTCCTTACCACTGCATTTTGAAGTCACTTCCATTCTTCAGCCATTCGGGTCCAAGCTGCTTCGGATCAAGGCAACAGGCCCCGAAGTGCTAAGCCTTTGGACTGGGGGAACGCCGCACACTACAACACTAGTCACACACATCTCTCCGGGTACGCCCTGTACCTGTCCCATTCTGTATCAAACAGGCGCGTGGAAATGTTGCAGTCGCTTGTCGAGGATGTCGAGTCCACCTGGCGTTCCCAACACGGGACCATCGCTTGTGCTGTCCCCGCCGTGTTAATTTTGTTTGTTCTGGGCGACCCTGTTGCCGCTGCCCTGCGCGGAATGAGGGCGACTGGGTTGCAGAACGAGTTCATGATATTGACCGCGCTGGCCCTGGCCTATTCCGTTGGAATGACCACTGCAGGAGAGCGGGCCCGCAGTGCTTCGAAAGCGCGTGCGGTTGCACCGAGCAAGGTTTTGCCAGAGAGGTGCCAAGCCAAGCGGCCGGTCCAGAGCATGGCACGCTTGTCGTCGCAGGTTCCGCGGGCAAGTGCCCCCGTCTTGAAGACGCATTCGGACGCAGGGAGGTCGGTGCAACAGACGAGCGGGGCCCGCAGTCTGTCGCATTCCGCAAGGCTGGACCCAGAAGGGGCCGACACCGATGTGCTCGAGCGAGCGAAGAGCGAGGGCGTCGCTCCAAACGCTCAGGCATGGTCACTGGTCGTGGGGGCCTGCGTCAGGCTGGAGAACAGCGGCGTGGCGCTGGAGCTGCTCGAGCAGATGCTGGCGCAGGGCGCCCACCACGAAGCCGAACTGAGGAACAGCAGCACCGTCGGCAAGTTCTTCAGACTCGTGGTGGAGCATCTCGACGAGCAGCGCATGAGAGAGATAGGCATCGGAGGAGAAACACGTGCGCAGAGACCAGCTTTCGGAGCTCCTCCTCCTCGTCCTCCTCCTCCCCCTCCTCCTCCTCCCCTCCCCCCCCCCTCCTCCTCCTCCTCCTCCTCCTCCCCTCCTCCCCCCTCCCCCTCCTCCCCCTCCTCTTCCTCGGCGCCGGACGGCGCGCGGAGGCTGCCGCCGGGGCGGCCCATCGCCGACCACAGAAAAGTCCATGCGGGCCTCCGAGAGCTGCTTTCTGTGCCGACGTTCCGTGTCGTTCCACGGATCGATCCCCATACCCCGAGCCCCAAGGTTCTGGCTCAGACCTGCGGGCCACAGGGGGCCCGTTTGCCTGAGCCCCCAGCCTTCTGCCCGAGGGGCGGAGGGCGTCACGGAGAGCGGAGGGCGCCGCCATAGGCCGCCCTCGCCCGCCTGGCACAGGCGGCTGCGGAGGCGGCGCGCCAGTGCGCGCAGCCTCCTGGCGCTCGAGCGCGCGAGGCGCGTATTGCGGCACCACCACGGAGACGGTCATCTCGTGGCCATGGGTGCTGGCGACAGTGGCAAGGGCGGCAGGAGCTCCAGGCCGTCGTCCCGCGCGCCATCGAGACCTCGGTCGGAAGGAGGCGAGTTCTGGCGGTGCTCGCAGGCCGACTGTCGTTGCGCCAAGAACCAGGCTCATTGGCGCTGGTGCAAGCATTGCGGCAAGGAGCGCAACGGGGGCGAGTCCAAGCCGCCATGGGCGCGTGATACGCCTCGTGGGGGTGCTGGCAGGCCTGCTGGTGCTGCTGGCTCGTCCGTCCCGGACCTCGGAGTGGACGCCATGCAGGCGCTCGTGGTGTTCGCTGAGCAGAAGGGGGACAAGCAGATGGCCGAGAAGTACCGAGAAGCCATCCGCATCAAGTCTCAGCCTGAGGCGCCCACGGCCCTGTCAAAGGACGAGTTGCGCTCGATGGTCACCATGGCTGAAAGATCTGGTGACAAAGCGACGGCGGCGAAGTACAAACAATTGTTGGAGCAGGCTGACAAGGGCTCGGAGGACAAGAAGCCCGCGCAGCTCAGGGCCAACAAGGCACATGCTCGGGTGCGCAAGACGAAGGGAAAGCTCGAGGCCGAGAACGCGGTGCTGGCGAACCTGCTGGATCAGGTGGAGACGCAGAAGGCTCTGGTCTCCGAGCTGGTGTCGGAGCTGGATTCGGCCGAGAGCGAGTACAGGGCCGCTGTGGCAGAAGTGGCCGCGGGGGTCAGCGGTCAGGCCCCTGCGAAAGTGGAACCTATCAAGCTCTCGCTGGCCAAGCTCATGGACGGCGAGCTGGACGATATCGACCTGGAGGACGACGGGCTCTTCGGCTACACAGAGTTCGAGGAGCTCGGCTCGGCGGCCTTTGAGGAGGCAAAGTCCAGGAAGAAGCAGATGTTGGAGTCTTTCAAGCAGATGGCGGGCGCTTTCTTCGGAGAGGTGCGCCAGAAGGGCCAGGCGCTGCAGGCCGAGCACAAGGTCATGCAGGAGCGGCTCGCGGCCAAGAAGCGGCGCACTGCAGAGGGAGACGCTGCTGACAGCGACGGGGACGGCATCACGGGGACGCAGGCTCCTGAGGCGCCTCCTGAACAGCCTGAAGTCGCTGAGCCTGCAGGGCCTGCACGCGCTGAGGGTGACTCGGAGAAGCTCAAGGCCACCGCTCGCGCAGCCGTGGCAGCGGCGACCGAGGTGGCGAGCGGCGGCAAGGCAGAGGCTACCAAGCATTGTGGGTAGCGACTCGAGAAGTATACTGAGACACGGCGGCAGTTCGTCCAGAGCTACCAGGGGATGTCGCGTGCGTTTCACCTACTGCGATGTTGCGAAGACTGGCCTCCAGTCTGGATCCACGACGCGTTCGGCTTCTGTGGCGGGGGCCAGACGTGGGTACTCTTCTTGCTCGGCTCCGACGCCGCGCACTTCTGGGGTCCCCCCTCCGCCCCTGGCAGCCATACCTGTGGCCAGAGGCCCCCCAAAGGGGGTTAATGGGGGGGGAGCGACCCGCGCCGAGGGCGCGCCTGCGGGGGGCTCGCCTATGGGGGGCGCCACGTTCCCCTGCTCCCAGTCGGTCGGGGACGTTAAAGCTCTTGGCGTGAGCCATGCGCCTTCTGGGCAGGGCGAGGGCGTTCCCCCAGCGGTGACACCCGCAGGTAGTATTGGGTCGACATCTGTGCCGACTTGTGCGCGGGTACATCAGGCAGGCGATCTTCAAGGCTCGAGACGGGGAGCTAAGAGAGGTCGTTCGGTTACTCGGTCGAGTGCTGCGCCTGAGTGTTCGTTCACTTCGAGTTCGGCTACGACGTGTGGGACCTCGGGGTCGTCTTCGGCGGCTTCGGTAGCGCCTCCGTCGCTGGCATGCGGTTCGTCTACTGAGGAGCCTGCTGGAGGCAGGCTCCCCCCTCTGCTTCAGTGTGAGTTCAGTGCTGCCTGTGCTGCTAGTCACCCAGGGGTCCCCAGTCTCATCGGAGCCGCTAGCTCTTTCGACTTTCTGCAGGCCCCCCCAGAGCCGCCCTGCCCCTCTGGCTTCGGTCTCATCGTGGAAAGCTGTAATGCCACTTGCTGGAACTCGTTCAAAGAGTGGCTCAGTAACACGACGGCGCACATTATTTGTCTGCAAGAGCACCACATCGTCAAGCCCACTGCATTGAGGGAGGCAACGTCGTGGTGCAGCCGTCATGGATGGAAGGCGATACTTACCCCTGCCATTGCTGGTCAAGGTGAGGGCTCGTCTGGGGGAGTCGGCATCCTGGCGCGGGAGTTCCTGGGGCTGCATGAGCCTCTGTGGGGCTCCTCGCTTTCGGCTGGCCGTCTCATCAACGCCTTGGTTCACCTTCCTGGGGATGTGCCGTTTTTGGTCCTGTCGGCGTACTTGCACGATAGTGAAGGTTTGTCTAGCAGGAACCTCGACATTCTCAGTACTGCGGGGGCTACTGTTAAGATGTCGGGGCACCAGGCCATTCTTGGAGGTGACTGGAATATGTCTCCTGAAGTCCTTCTGAAGTCGGGTTTCCCTGAGAAGTTGGAGGGGTCTTTGATCAAGCCTGCTGGCTCTGGGACCTGCAGATCGTTGGGAGGTCTGAACTTCCTGGATTATTTTGTGTGCACTGGGGGCATTGCGAAGGGTATTCAGTCGACGAGCATAGTGCAGGTGGCGCAGCTGACACCGCACAAGCCCGTCCATCTGCAGCTTTTTCCTCGGCTTGCTCAGCTGTGCGCGCTCACGTTCCGTAAGCCACCGCCCATTCCCAGAGAGAGGCCGATTGGGGTTGGCCGCTCACCGCCAGACTGGGGCGTGGTGCAGGACGCTGCTGAGGGGTGTTTAGGTACGGCGCTCTCGGGCCAGATCTCGGAGGCTCAGGAGATGCTTGATTGGGTCTACGGGCGTTGGGCGGATTTGGCCGAGAGGGAGCTTTGCGACTTGGCCCAGATCACGCTGCCCTACTATGGTGCCCGCAGTAAGTCACCGCAGCTGCATTGGGTTCCTATCATCAAGGACAAGGCCCCTCCTTTCAGGCACCCCAAGCTGTTCGCGGGCAAGTGGGTTTCTCATAGGTTCCAGGACCTGATCATCGAGTATAGGGACGGAGCTCTGGAGGCCTCGAAGACCAGGGAGTCCCTGTTGAAGCCCCCGTCCTTCGTGCTTATCGTCGGCTGTGTTGACTGGGACCAGTATCTCATCACGATTCAGTCCTTAGTTCGTGCCGTCCCCGACGGGAAGATCACCAGCGGGGAGCGCCAGCAGTGGGGCAAGTCCGAGTGGCTGGAGGCTGCTCAAGATGCTTTGGTTTTAGTGCAGCAGTATGTGACCAAGCTTCAAGGGGAAGCTCGACACGACGGCGAGATGGGGTGGAAAAACTGGCTGCTCACAAAAATCAAAGAGGGGGGAAAGAATGCCCACTTGGCCTCCAAGGAGGCCCCTGGTTGGAAAGCCACCACGACCTTATCGGCTGGGGGTTTAGTGCTTTCGGACCCTTTGAGTTTGCTCAAGAGTGAGGCCTCTGGCTGGGCCGAGCTGTGGCACGCGGGCTCTGAGGCGACCGACAGTTTGTTTGAAGGGGTGTGTCAGCCCCTCCCCATGGTTTCGATCGACCAGATTAGGTCGACTGCCGCTGCTTTCAAGGCCACCACGGCACAGGCTGTGGATGGGTTTCACATGAGGCACTACTCGTGGCTGTCGGACTCGGCGCTGGCGGTGGTGAGCCTCTTGTTTGCGATCTTCGAATCGCTCTCCAGCCTGCCGCGCCAGCTCCAGATTATTCAGGTGGTGCTTCTCTCTAAAGCGTCGGGGGGATATCGGCCCATTGGGTTGTTTGTTTCCCTTTTTAGGCTTTGGGGGAAATGCAGAAGGGAGCTGGCGGCGGATTGGGAAGCGAGAAATGCTAGGATATTCTTCTCTGGCAGTTCTTTCGCTTGCGCGGCCGACACGGTGTGGCGGCAAGCGGCCCGAGCCGAGCTCAGCACTAGGAAAGGGGAAGTCTCGGCCTTGATGTTGTGGGATATGACTAAGTTTTATGAAAACTTTTCTCACGAGAGGCTTGTGGCTGAAGCTCGGAAGTTCGGTTTCCCCACGGCCATCACCCAGTTGTGCGTGTCTGCCTACAGGTACGGGAGGTTTGTGAGCATGGCCTCAGCGGTCGCTGGGCCCTTTTTCGCGCTTCGTGGAGTCGTGGCAGGATGCTCGATGGCTACTTCCCTGGTTCGGGTTTATCTTCTGGGACCTCTGAGCAATCTGAACCTTCCTCGGGGAGTTTTCCTGGCTCAGTTTATCGACGACTCGGGTCTGGACTCCACGGGTTCAGCTCAGGACGTGTCTTGGGGCATTAAAGAAGGTTCTCGGCAGTTGGAGCAGGCTCTGGTCCACGAGTGCGGCTGCTCCATTTCTTTGTCCAAGGCGGGCCAAGGCAACCTCGTTTGCTCGGACGGGGCCGTCGCCAGGGAGCTGCAGATGTTCCTTGGCGACCGCACGGGCCCGTTGGCCGACAGCATTGTGGACTTAGGGATAGATTTCACTGCTGGCAGGTCTCGCAGGAAGGCCTACATCCGAAGGGCCCTCCGCGAGTCCAAGTTCAAGATCCGCATGGCCAACTTGAAGGCCAAGACTCGGAAGGTGAGGATTATGAAAAAACAGATCACGTCCCACGCCAAGAAAATCTGGGTCTCGGGTCCGCTCCCTGGGGTGCTGTATGGTTCGGAAGTCCACGGGATCTCGGACGGGGAGCTCCACCGAATTCGGCAGCAGGCTGGCTCCGTTATGGGGCCAAGTTGTAAAGGTAGATCGCTCACAAGCCTTCTCATCTTAGAAGATGAGCCTACGTGGCTCGCGGCGGTGGCGCCCCTTGTCAGGTACTCTAAGGAGCTGTGGTGTGCCCACTCAGGTGCATACCGCTGGTGTTTCAGTTTCACGGAGCTCCGCGAGGCGTGGAGAATTTTCTTCGCCAAGCCCCCGCCAGCGACGTGGAGGGATGTCACGGGGCCTTTCTCCGCGATGTACATGTGCCTTAAGAGGATCCAGTGGAAGATGATTGATTGGGTCTCCTTGGAAAACGATTTCGGGGAGAAGTTAGTTTTGACGGAGGTTAGTCCTGGGCTCCTAAAGTTATTGTTGCGTCAAGCTGTCCTTCGGAGTCTGGAGCGAGTTGCTGCCCAAAAATCGGTCCTGGAGGTCCCTCGCCTGTGCTACGATGTGCTCAAGCGGCCCCTGCACTCTAGCAAGGTTTCTCCATCTGGAAAGGCGGCGATCCGTGTGATCGGCTGCGACGCCAGTTGGACCCGAGTTCGTGCGCGTTGCCTCGGTTACCAGCTGGAGTCGGTGGAGTGTCCTCTGTGCGGTCAAGGGCCAGACACGCTGCTCCACAGATTTTGGCGTTGCTCGGCATGTGCCGAAGAGCGTGCAGAGATAGTATCAGACGAGTGCCAGAAGCTAGTTGACGACATGGACAGCGAAAACCCCCAAGACCTACTCCTACTTACCCGCGGTATCTTTCCACACCCAGGGGACTATTGGCCGAGGCCAGACAAGGAGTGTAAGACCGTGTGGCAATGGGAGGAGGATGTCACGGAGGAGGACGGCATGGTGAGGGGGGAACTGTTCTTGGACGGGAGCTGCACCAGGTGTATCGTGCCAGAGCTTAACAGGGCGGCCTGGGGTCTTGCGATTTTCGATCGGGCTTTCAGATTCCTAGGCAGAGTTTTCGGCACGGTTTATGCGGGGCTCCCCCAAACCTCGCAAGCTGGGGAGTTTGCCGCTTTTGGCTGTTCTAGCCAAGTCGTGGAAGGTGACTGTGATATGTACACGGACTGTGCCAACGTTCATGTACAGGCCAACCGACCCCTGGGTGAGCAGCTACACTACCAGAGGCCCTATGCGGGGCTTTTGTTGCACAGTCAGAGAGTGTCACACCACATAAAATCTGTGAAGAAAGTCAAGGCCCACCTCTCTCTCGAAGAAGAGGGTGTGCCTGAGGGAGAGATGCAGCGTCGGAGAGGGAATTTCCATGCCGATGCGGCCGCGAAAGCTGGGGTGCGTCTGCATGACGAGCCCACGGCCGAGCAGTCCCAGGCCCTCGAAGAGACGCTGCTCGTGGCCAAAACTGTGTGCAGACTGGCCGCGGCTCTCCTGTTTAAGTGGCCGAGGCTAGATTTGAAAGATGTGGTGTTTCAAGCCCCTGTGGGGCGGGCCCGAGAAGGGCACCCTGTCCGCCCTTTGCACGTTTGGGAATTTGTGGCAGGCCGCTGGCGATGCAATATCTGTCTCAAGGCCTCTCGGTCTCAGCTCCGCCCCCCGCCCAGAGGATGCTCGGGCAAACGCGGGGACTGGGATTTTGGGGAGATGGAGAGGAACGGCCATTTCGTGGTCGGCCTGCCGTGCGACAACGGTGAAGTGTTGCACATTTGCACCCACTGCGCCTCTTTTGTCGGTCCTGGGTCTCTAAAGAAGTCCAACCTCTTTGGGAGGTGTGACCGCAAGATGTCGGCACATAGGAAGTGTCTTTGGCGCAGGTTGCTTCGAGGTCTTTACCCCAGCTACAGTTCGAGTCTGAGGGTCGACCCCGAAGGTATTCAAGACCTCACCGTGTGAGGCGGATTTAAATTGCGATTTAAATCACTACAGTCCAGTCTCGCTGGTGGCAGTCTTGATGTGGATGTTGAAAAAAAATACCCCGAGCCCCACGAATCAGAGCCCCGAGTCATCAGGGCTGGGGGCAGTCAGGGATGGCTGCAGATTCGCGCCGCCGGGGGCCCAGACCGGGGTTACCCCGGGCCGCAGTTATCCTGGATAACCCGGGGCGTCCAGGCGTCCAACACCATCCCCAAGAGGCCCCCAGGAGGTCCCAAGAGGCGCCGAAGAGGTTCCAAGAGGCTCCCAAGAGGCCCCCAAGATGCCCAGGAGGAGGAGGAGGAGGAGGAGGAGGAGAAAGCGAGGGGGAGGAGGAGGAGATGCCCGAGAGGAGCAGCCCATACGTACACCCTCCTCGGGGGGCAGATATATGGGCCAGCGGGGCCCAGGCCACGCCGGTGGGGGCCAGGATCGGCTCCTCTTCCAAGGCGTCCAGCTCCTCGACGTGATCCAGGCTCACGGACTGGCGCCCACGGCCATCGTCCAGAACCGGCTCATCTGCGCGTGGAAGAGCAAACCGCCAGACGAAGTCCTACGGGCCCTCGTGGGGCTCAGAGACCGGGGCGTGCGTCTCACCCCGACGGCCTACCGCTGCATCATGTTCGCCAACGAGCGGGCCAGGCCAGAGTTCACGCTGCAGCTCTACGAGGATCTGGGCGCGTGTAAATTGCTCGAAAGGCTTGCGGAGGCTTCCAGGACCCAGAGTGATCTCCATCAGCTGCGCCCCGCCGTGGGCGCTCCAGGGATGCCGCCAGGATCATCCAGAACGGCCGCCTGAGCCGGGCAGGTGGAGATTTGGGGGTGACCTCATCAATGGGGGTGAACCAAGGGCCCTAAAGGGGCCCCTTTGGGGCCCCTGCTGGCTCGAAAACGAGCCCTCGAGGGCCCCTTGACGGCATTTTTCTTCACCCGCCCTTTAGTCACCCCCCATTACCATTCTCCCGATTGAGGCCAGGATTACTGCTCGAGAGCCAAATGGGAGGGAGCACGCAACTGGGGCTCATCGCCGACGAGGTTGTCAGCCGACCACCTCCGATATCCCGGATATCCCCTTTGGCTGGCCTAGGCTTGGAGGCCGCGTGGAGCCAGCCGAGCATGCTTGCCCTCCGCTGACTTGGATCGGGGAGCTATTGCGCGACCGGCCGTGGTTCGAGACCTGGTCTTCCAGGCGGGGTTCGGATCGTGATGCATCGTTCGAGAGCGTTCCAGATCGCCCTCAGCGCCCCAGAGCGCTCCGAAACGGCTGCGGCGCCCAGCACATCCTCCAGCGCCGCCACCTCTCGGAGAGCCCCGATGTATCCAGGTCCGAAGTCATCCCCATGTTGCCTTCGTCTTGTCAGCGCTGACCCTGGTTGGCGCGTCCCCGAGAGGAGATGGTAGAGCGCGGGGTCAAGTTCGACAGGGTGTCGTTCAACGCCGCGCTGTGCGCCTGCGCCGTCCTGGGCCTGACGGGCAAGGCCCTGGAGCTCTTCGACAGGATGCAAGAGCACGGACCGAGCGGGGCGACGGGGAGGCCAGACACGCACCCCTTGGGCAGACGTATCCATACATGTTAATAATAATAGTAATAGTAATAATAATAATATTAATAATAATAATAATCATATTCATCATACTCATAATAATAATGATAATAATAATAATGATAATACGAATAATAACAATAACAATAACAAGATAAATATTAACAACAACAATAATAATAATAACAATATCAATAACAATAATAATAATAATAATAATCATCATAATCATCATCATCAGCATCACCATCATCAGAGGCAGCAGCGTGTAATGGGGATTCCCCACTGCAATGCTCCAGCGGAGAACCGCGGGGCACGCCCGGAGGCCGCGAGGAGGACGTCCACCTCCATCCTCCTTGACGTCCACCACCTCATCCTCCTCAGTCCTCCGCAACAAGCACCTGCTCGTGCACCTTCTCAAGCAGCACCACCCTGGCATCCCCCTCCCCATCGTCCTCCTCCTCCTGGCCATCATAGTCCTCCTCCTCGTCCTGCTGCTCCTCCTCATCCTCCTCCTCGTCCTGATGTTCCTCCTCCTCCTCCCTTGCCTCCTCCGCGTCCTCCACCTCCTCCTCCACCTGCTCCTGCACCAGATCATGGATAAGACGCGGCAGGCTGCGTGAATAAGACGGCGCCGATGCACCTACATCCGCGGGCAGCTTGCGCGCGGGTGAACGCGCAATCGATCCCCGCGGCATCGCCCCCCCCCCGACTTCACACTAGGCGGTGCAACGGACCGCTTCTGTCAAAGCCTCGTCTCTCCCCTCGGGGGCGGTTAACCCGCCCATCCCGCTAGCAGACCGTGGAGGCCTTGGATAAGGAATCCAGGGTCTGGAGCCTGGTGGATATCCACTTGCGTGGATAAGAGAGGGGGGCAGAAGTTGTCCGCCCCCAATCATTGTAAGCTCTCTACCCTCCCTCCGTCTCCCCCCCCCCGCCCCCCTTGCTTCTCCCCCTCCCGCCCTCCCCCCCCGCCCCCCCCCCCCCCCTCGACCCTTCCTCCGCTTCAGATCCCCTGGAGGAGGGCGGCAGGTGAGCGGCGCGGTTGCAGTTGCGCGCCCGCGGGCGGGTTGAAATGCGTCGCCCAGTTGGGTTGCGCGCCCGCGGGCGGGTTGAAATGTGTCGCCCAGTTGCGGTTGCGGTCGCGCGCCCGCGGGCGGTTTGAAATGCGTCGCCCATGTGCGGTTGCGGCTGCGCGCCCGCGGGCGGGTCTACATGTCGCGCAGTTGCCTTTTTGCGCGCCCGCGGCCGGGTTGAAATGCGTCGCCAAGGTGCAGTTGCGGTTGCGCGCCCGCGGGCGGGCTGAAATGCGTCGCCCAGTAGCGGTTGCAGTTGCGCGCCCGCAGGCGGATCGAAATGTGTCGCCCAGTTGTGGTTGCGGTTGCGCGCCCGCGGGCGGCTTGACACGTGTCGCCCACTTGCGGTTGCGGTTGCGCGCCCGCGGGCGGGTTGAAATGCGTCGCCCCGCTGCGGTTGCGGTTGCGCGCCCGCGGGCGGGTTGAAATGCATCGCGTAGTTGCGGTTGCGGTTGCGCGCCCGCGTGCGGGTTGAAATGAGTCGCCCAGGTGCGGTTGCGCGCCCGCGGGCGGGTCGAAATGTGTCGCCCACTTGAAGTTGCGGTTGTGCGCCCGCGGTTGAAATGCGTCGCCCAGTTGCGGTTGGTGATGCGCGCCCGCGGGCGGGTCGAAATGTGGCGCCCAGTTGCGGGCGCGGTTGCGCGCCCGCAGGCGGGTTGAAATGCGTCGCCCAGTTTCGCTTGCGCGCCCGCAGGCGGGCTGAAATGCGTCGCTCAGGTGCGGTTGCGGTTGCGCGCCCGCGGGCGGGTTGACATGCGTCGCCCAGTTGCGGTTGCGGTTGCGCGCCCGCGGTCGGTTTGAAATGCGTCGCCCAGTTGCGGTTGCGGTTGCGCGCCCGCGGGCGGTTTGAAATGTGTCGCCCAGGTGCGGTTGCAGTTGCGCGCCCGCGGGCGGGTTGAAATGTGTCGCCCAGTTGCGGTTGCGGTTGCGCGCCCGCGGACTGGTCGAAATGTATCCCTCAGTTGCGGTTGCGCTCCCGCGGGCGGCTTGAAATGTGTCGCCCATGTGCGGTTGCGGTTGCGAGCCCGCGGGCGGGTTGAAGTTGCGGTTGCGGTTGCGCGCCCGCGGACGGGTCGAAATGTATCGCCCAGTTGCGGTTGCGCGCCCGCGGGCGGGTTGAAATGTGTTGTTCAAGGCGCTCTCCTGACGTTCAGTCAGTCAATCAGTCAGTCGGTCACCGGCGGGCACAATATGTCACCCTATTCCGCCATGAATAATATCGATAGTAAGAATAGTAATACCAATAATACGAATGATTATCACCATCATAATAATAACTACTATCCCAGTGCGACCCTACCTAGGAGCTGAAACCTCTGAGAAAGCAACATTAGTAGGAACGGTAGACGCCGTTCTCCTCCTTCTTCGCATCGTCGCAGTTGTAGCAGTTGCGGTAGTAGTAGTAGTAGTAGTAGTAGTAGTAGTAGTAGTAGTAGTAGTAGTAGTAGTAGTAGTAGTAGTAGTAGTAGTAGTAGTAAGTAGTAG